GAATAAACAATACAACTAAGATTTCTAAATTAATCACATAAACTTTAATGACCTCGAATGAAATATAATTTTTCTATTCCTATTGATTTAATAAATCAATAATATTCTCAATTGTTTTTTCTCTTCTTCATCAGAATTTTTCTTTCAAAAAATAACTTTTTTAAGAACTTACTTTTTGACGAAATAATTGAAATTTCATTAATAAATGATTGTGAATCTCGTTGAATAGATATATGTGATGGATTATTTAGTTCTTGTGTAATATCTATTAATTCATGTGTTAAATAATTTAAATTAATCTCATTAAATTCATTTTCTTTATGAATTTGTTTGATTTGTTCACATAAATCATTAAATTTCTTTTCAATATCGTAAATAAATGTTTCTGAAGTTTTAATAATAATTTCTCTACAATTTTGTGCTCTTTGTTGAATGATTTCAATTGAATCTATTTCCCATTGATTAATTTGTTTTAATAATGAATTACTTTGTAGATTTTGTGGATTTTGCTTTCGTTCATTAATTCTTTGTTTAAATTGATCATAATCATTAATAATATGATTTAATTCTTCTCTTAATAATTGTTGATGTTCTGTTAAATCTGTTAAACAAAATCTTTTCGAGCATCCTTCACAAGAATATGTTATTTTTTCTGTATTACATATAAAACAGTGTGTTTTATTGTTTGCCATTGCCATATCGTTGAATATAAATTTGTAGAAGAAGTGAATAATATTCTTATCTAATTCTATAAATATAAATTTAATAATTCAATGATAATAAAGAAACTGCTCAGTAGTAGAAGAAAACGAAAAAGAATTTTGTTGTGATAAAATCTCACTGATTCACGTTCATTAGACTTGACTTAACCTTATTGAGACTTACGGAAAACACAGAGGTGAATTCGGAAGCTGCGAATCACGTGTGCTAGTACCCATATTAGTATATCTTTATATATATATCATCATTTAAATTTCGTAGAGTTTGTTCTGCTATTTCTGAGTCATCTAATCTATAATGGTTAGTTGAATTTATCGTTACTCATTCGCTCATGGTAGATTCAAACATCAGAAATATCTTACAAATAAGAAATGAAACAATAATATTCTTTTCTTCAATGCCTTTGAATAAATACCTACTAAACACACCTAAATACGAAAGAAAAGAAGAAAGAAAGAAAAACAAACAAATATAAATATGATATTTTTTCTCTTCTTATTTTTCCTCTTGAAAATTACCTTCACAAACCATTTTTTTATATTTTCGTCATCATTTGTGTAATGTAAAGTGACGTTATTGATGATTTGATATATCTGTTTTCTTCCTATTTCTGACAAAATTTCGACGACGAAAAGTAAAGAAAGAAAAATAATGTACAAACATTGAATTATTATTTGTTTGTCTTTTTAAAGTAAATGTTCCGTAATATGATAAAAAACAGTTAATTAAGTTGGAATATTCTACATGAGAATGAATCGAAAGAAAAAATCCAACAAAGGATTATAAGTCATATGAAAGAAAAGAAATAGAAATAAATAGAAATAAATAGTCAGTATAGATACATACTCGCTTGTGTAGAATAAAAATAGATGAGCTAGGTTTTTTTTATAAGGATGAACAATTTCTTCTCGTCTATCAGTACTTGCATTATTTGTCTATACGCATTCTTTATTTTTCTTCATAATTTTGTTTGCATTCTGATCTTAGATTCTTTTTAAAGACAGTTTAATATTGAAAGGTCTGATTGTAAAAAAATTATGCAAGAAAAAGAAATTGACGAATTCCAAACAGATATAAACCAATTTCTGGTCATCAGATGATGAAGTCGTTTTGTCGCTAGAAATTTTTTTGTCATTGATATTTTTTTATTCATCTTACAATGTGAATCATCTGTAATTCGTTGAGAGCTAGGGAATAGTGTATTCATATTTTTGATGGCATCTAGTTGATTCTAATGAAAGCAAAAATTAGAACTACTTCTGAAGTATAGTTTATTCTATACATATCAGTAAACTCTGTCAAACTAAATTTGTGATACGAAGATCCTTCGAAACCTCATGAAGAAGGTTCCCAGTTTGTATATCTTATGAACTCTCTAACTTTTTCATTACAATTAGCTCGATCAATGAAATTCTGTGATTTATATAAAGTTGGATATGCACAGTTTTTATCATAGTTGAGTGTGAAGAATGAAAGTAAAAACATTGATTTTCATGCACCGAAGAAAAGATAATTAGAGATGTTTCATCTGTTGATTCTCTTCATTCTAGAAATCATCTATGGAACTTATAATGGAACATATATGAGAGTTATAAAGAAGATGGATTTCAAATCGTTCAAATCAATAGAGATCTTGATGAGTATTTCAGATATTTATATTTTCATTTCACCTAGAGACGCCTGAAAGAATGCAGATAATTCAAGCCATATTGAAGGTATTGGCTTTGGATTCATGTTTTTTTGTGTCATCAGTTTGAATTTCTTGCCAATAATTATAGATCTATTTCATCAATCTAATATTTATAATTAAGCATAACAAATATACTACTTCATTCTATAGTTTATTGACACAACTAACAGTAATATTTAGTTGAAAATTGTATATTTGAATGAACCTAAATGAAATGGACTCATATTAAATATGACAGGTTACGGCATCAGAATCGAGAGCTACATTTGGATATTCTAGTACATTTTTTTTCTATATTGTAGTTCAAATTGCTCATTATAATAACTTAAATCAAATTTAAATATTTTCTTATCATGTTGAAAACTAATTGGAAGCATTTTCACTATATGGTCAACCTTTAACATCAATTTCTCTTTCAAAGAAAAATATTCCTAGAACAATTTAAATTTATAACATATAATTCGATGTCGATTCTATCTTCTGGTAATCGGTATGGGTGTAGGTAAGGATATGAAGGTGTGCATGTTGATGTATCCCAGGCATACCAATATCTACCCCACATCCACATCCTCAAGATAAATATTTCCTAATCCCGAGAATATATGAGTGTCGAATCAATATGAAATTTAAATCTATCCTCGTCCAACACGCACACACGCTTTTATAAATTAATGTTGTGTTCGCATCAGCATCAATCCCTCTTTTAATATAAATTACTATTGAAAATCATAACTCAGTATAGTCAGATTTACATTTTTTCATCGACAAGTTGTATGTTGTTTTTTTCTTTTCTGCATCAGTCAAGGGAAATCGTGTCCATCAACATTTCTTTTGTAAAAAGAAAATTGTGTTGATTTCATTCGATTCATCACACCAGGAGAACGTTAACAAAATAGTCAACGTCAGTATTGCTTCATTTTCATTGATGGCAATGCTTGCTGAAAGTAAACAAACACAAGCGGGTAGAGAGCGATTCTCACTTGTATGGCTTGATGCCGCAACGAATAACTCCAATGAGCAAGTTGAAGCTGAGCAACAACTTCAGTCGAACATCGATCACTTGATTACATTCACAGATATAAGCTCATGTAAAAAATACCTTCGATCATGTGATAAAAGCTGTCGATTAGTGCTGATTGTTAATGGAGGATTCGGCCGAGAACTTGTCCCTAAGATTCATGAACTTCAACAGATCATATCAATTTACGTCTTTTGTTTCGACAAGCAATTACATGAAGAATGGACGAAACAATTTAATAAGGTAAATTTTGCTGTAGTTCATCTGTTGTGAATGATCACTACGCGTAGAGAGCGGAGGGAGGTTCAGTACGATTTTCTTAAATAATATTTCGTACTTTATAATTTTGTTGATTTTGAAAAATACTAAGTTTATCATTTTATTTAGGTGAAAGGTGTCTTTACTCAACTGACTGATCTTATTGCTGCAATTCAGTCCGAAGGAGAAAGAAGATCATTGAGAATCGACGAACCACTTTCCATTTCCATAGAAGGTCGATCGACAACCGAAATTAACGGTGGATTTCTTCATTCACAACTACTTATCAATGCACTTCTCCATATGTATGTGTCAGCAACAGCCGTAGATGAAATTATCGATTCGTGGAAAAGTCGATATCATGGTAATAAAAAAGAACTTCAAATTCTGAAAGAATATAAAAAAACATATTCTCCTTGCAAAGCACTATGGTGGTATACAAGAGAATCATTTCTTTATAAACTTTTGAATGAAGGTCTTCGAAAACAAGATATCGATACTCTTTTTCTCTTTCGTTTCTTTATTCATGATCTATGTACTCAACTCGAACAAAATCGATGTTTATCACCTGTAAACGTATATCGAGGTCAACTGATGTCAAAAGACGAACTGAAAGTATTGAAAGAATCGACTGGACAATTGATTTCTATGAATTCATTTCTTTCAACTAGTCTCGATCGAAAACAAGCTATTCATTTCCTTAAAAAAAAAGATACTACAGATCATAGTCGAATACTATTTGAAATTTACGCTGATCCTCGTCATTCGACAACGAAACCATTTGCTAATATTACCACTATGAGTTATTTTCCTTCTGAAGGTGAAATATTGTTTATGTTGGGATCGATTTTTCGTTTACATCACGTTCGTGATGACAATGATTTTTGCATTATTCAATTACATTTGTGTTCCGATGATCATCTTGGTGTTAAAAATATCTTTGAACATATGAAAAATCAAATCGATGCCCGAGATGGATTTTTGTCTTATGGAAACGTGCTTTTTCAAATGGGTCAAGTTGATTATGCTGAAAAATATTACGAACGTGGATTAAAAGAACTTTCTTCAAAGCATGCAAATGTTGTCTATTATTATCATGGCCTTGGTCTTGTAAAAAAAGAACGTGGAGATTTCGTGTCTAGTCTTTGTTATTTTGAAAAAGCACTTGCACTTTACAAGAAAACAGGAAATCAAAGTTCAGTTGCTAGCATCTACAACAATATTGCGACTATCCACAGTGCCAAAGGAGATTATAAGGAAGCTCGTAATTCGTACGATATGGCATTAGCAATTTATATTACAGAAAATGGTCAAAATCATGAGGATGTCGCGATGTGTTATAATAATATAGGTGCTATCTACTATCAGGAAAAGAAATATTTGGATGCATTTAATTTCTATGAAAAAGCCCTAAACATATGGCAACGAACACTTCCTGCTGATCATTCTCAACTGGGAGTATCATACAGTAATATTGGTGCTGTTTGTCTGAATCTTCATGATTATACGTCTGCATTGGAAAATTACAATCGAGCACTTACGATTAAAGAAAAGACTCTTGTTCCTCAACATCATAGTATCGCATCGACACATCAAAGTATTGGCCTTGTGCATGAACAGAACGGTAATTCGAAACAGGCACTCGTACATTATCAAAAAGCAGCAGTGATCTATCGTCATAGCTACCCTGCTGATCATCCTAATGTAATACAAATCGAACAACATATTCAGCGCATTACGACATCAAACGCTGTGAATGTCGTTCATTCACAATGATCTCAGTGTGTTTTCAACAGGACAAATCTATAATATCATCTATACCTAAAAAACAATAAATTATATTTCATTTGAGAATGGGTGAGAGTGTAGGTAAGAGTCAATAAGTTTGAATTTAATGTTCATATCTTATCGACGCCTACATTCTCACCCTCACTGAGAAATCTTTTTCATATGGTATCCAGAACTATTTGTTCTTTGGTAGGTTCTCTACAAGCCTCCATAAACAGTCAGTTTTCATTAGCTGCTCTTAAGACATATTGAACAAAGTATTGATTGTTGAATGCACTACCCAATCAGATAAGCTTTCAAAGAAACATTTTTTTAATGCGTAAGGATGTGAATAAGACACTATCTACACTGCGTACAAAAATTCCGAGGAGCGAAATATTTAATATTATGACAAACATCTACAGCGTGACAGCCTTGAGGAATCGACAGAATGAAAAGAAAAACAACGACACTATTATGAATTTGCGAGTATGCTTTTATTCTCGACAGTACTGCACTTTAGTTTCAAAATTATGAAACGACAAAAAGAAAGTCGTAATTTCTCAAGTGAACTCATTTCATTTGCTATAGAATACACCATACACACTGTGTTTACATTTTCTTTTGTTTCTTGTAGAAAATCGAATACCTACACAACAGTACAATATCTGACTTGATCGAATCGTTAGTTTCATGGCAACACATTCACATAATAAGAGTTCTTATGTGAATACATCAAAGTCCTTCCACGATAATGTCATTGTCAATGATGGATACATACATGAATATAATGAAAATACAGTATCTGACACTGAGAATAGAGCAAATGTATCTACAGGAGAAGTTATTGCTGTCGGTGATGTAACTATCAATGAATATATGGAGCACAACACAATCGGTCACCAGAACAATTTAGAAACGCATCTACCAGCACCTGAACTAGTACATAAACAACCAGGAAAGGCAATGGTTTTCTCTATACCAAAATCTTCAATGAAATCATCCTGTATGTCTCGCCGCTGCAAATACTATATGTCGGTAGCACTTTTTTTTTGCATCATTATTGTGATCACTAGTATAGTAGTTCCAGTTGTTTTGGTAACAAGATCTAACAGCAATCAACCCACACCAAGTATGTACTCTCTGTTATACTAAGTTTGTCTAGAGAATCATCGATGTAATAAAGAGTACAATTCGCTATTTAATCTCTCTATTTATAGATGTCTTATCATTGATTCATACATAGAACATATCTATATCGAAGAGAGCATCTTTTTACAAAAATTTAGGAAACGTAGTTAATTACAGTATCTTTTTAAGCGTCAATAAATTAACCCATTCTAATATTTAATTTTAACTAGATTTGAATTAGTGCAAGTTTAGACTTTGATATTACTAATGTGAAGTTTTTGACAGATTCTACCAAACTTTATGTGACTTAAAAGATGCTATGAGCGGCAAGACTTCTCTAATCAAGTCTCTGCTATTTCGTCTTTTAGTAAGACTTGTCATTTATCCTTTTTATATTTGTAGCTGCTATAGCATGTTCAACAAATCCATCAAAGAGCGTTGTATTATTTAATATCAGTTACCCGACATCAAACCAATATATATTTTATTCTTCCATATATACAGCAAGATTTGAAAATGAAGTGATCACTTTTTCATTTGGTACTCTTCAGAGTTGGCTTCTGGATGATATATCGATTATTGATGAGCTTACAAAGTTCGAACTAATCCAAAATGGTGGTTTTGAAAATGGCACACTGAATGGCTATTGCCTGTCTGATCCTCTCAACAATTCATTCGCAGTGTCATTTGTCGATGCTTATCAAGGATCTTGTGCATGTTATATTATATATCCCTTCACACCAGTGGAATTAACACAGACTGTTAACACAACAATTGGACGTGTCTATAATGTGAGCTTTTGGCTCCTAGGACAAATTGATGCTCCTAGTCCTGTTGATGTATATATGGGTGTAGCAGTAGCGTCAAGTGGAAACTATTGTTCTATGCAATTTATCGTATTGGTATTCATCTTTTTTACTATTTACGGTATATTTTAAAATATAAAACGGTGATAAAAATACGCCGATTCAAGGGTGGGCGTGTAGAAACCATAAATACCCATACTCTCAAGACTGTTAAGTACTACGCTATAATAATAAAAGTTTGAACATTCATCATTTGATTTTTACTAATCAAGAAAATTACTAAAGATCTAGTTTATGAAGTATGATTACTTGCTTATTAATCCATGCATCATTTCAGACTTTCGACAATTACAATAAGTTGTGTCTCTGTTAAGTTTTTGCCCTAACAAAACTGAACTATTGGCTATTATCTAAAGTCAGTACTGCAAAATTCATGCTTTTCAATTCAACAAAGTATGAATATTATATTTATACAAACAAAATAGATTCTGATGTCTTCGCTAGAACAATCATTGTGATAAAAGCATTTTTTCACAAGTCATATAAAACGAAGTATTTAAACAGAAAAAGAAAAATATGTAATACATTAGAGATTTGAAATTCCTGATCAATAAGATTTCGAATAAATATTAGTAGCTATATAGGCTCGTAACATGAAATACTTTATTAACGATCGGACTTTGTAACAAATCATTCCTGTAATATCTTCAACCAAAAAACAAAACCATCAATATGAATAGTGACAATCGACTCTTATTCAAGAATTATGTCAATCAAAGCAACTATGAAAAGTTGTTAATCATTTCTATGAAGTCACCATCACTCTCAAGATTTGCAGAAGACTAGCTGTTATTAAAAATCATATATAATTAACTATCAAATAAAATTATACCATCAGTAAAACAAATTAATCAGAAATAATAAAAAAAACTTTGATATATTTCGATCTATCAATCTTGAAAGACTATGGATCACGCTGATTAACAAAAATGACCATTAAGCGTACGATGGAGGTGTATGTGTGTGTGCAGTAATTCATAGACGCTGAGCATATTTAGGTCAAATGAATCATCTTATGCTATCAAACCAAAGAATTTAAAATATTATTTGTCTATAGAATATCTGGCGCATGTTATTCT